AGAGACACAGAGACACAGAGACACAGTGACACAGAGACACAGAGACACAAAGACACAGAGACACAGAGACACAGACACACAGAGACACAGAGACACAGAGACACAGAGACACAGGGACACAGAGACACAGAGACACAGACACACAGACACACAGACACACAGACACAGAGACACAGACACACAGACACAGAGACACAGAGACACAGAGACACAGAGACACAGAGACACAGAGACACAGAGACACAGAGACACACAGAGACACACAGAGACACAGAGACACAGAGAGACAGAGACACAGAGACACAGAGACACAGAGACACAGAGACACAGAGACACAGGACACAGAGACACAGAGGTACAGAGACACAGAGACACAGAGACACAGAGACACAGAGACACAGAGACACAGACACACACGCCCACACGCCCACACGCCCACACGCCGACATGCCTACACGCCCACACGCCCACACGCCCACACGCCCACACGCCCGCACGCCCACACGCCCACACGCCCACACGCCCACACGCCCACACGCCCACACGTCCCCACGCCCACACGCCCCCACGCCCCCACGCCCCCACGCCCCCACGCCCCCGCGCCCCCACGCCCCCGCGCCCCCACGCCCCCACGCCCCCACGCCCCCACGCCCCCACGCCCCCACGCCCCCACGCCCCCACGCACCCACGCACCCACGCACCCACGCACCCACGCGCCCACACGCCCGCACGCCCGCACGCCCGCACGCACGCAAGCACGCACGCACGCGCGCACGCGCACCTGCACCCGCACCCAAAGCGGCCGCGCACGCTCTGCGGCATGTCCGCCCCACGCCCGCCTGCCTGCATGCATTTGTTGCTCGCCCGTCCGCTCGCGCTTGCCCGCTGCGCACACAAACGACTGCACACCCGCACGCGGTCTTGCCCGGGTGTGCGCACGCACCCACACGCTGCACTGCCGTCACTGCGCTCACGAGACACATGCAAACACACGTGGTGGATCGGATTATGACGTCTGATGCAAGAGTGATGATTTGTGTTTTTCCCGATTCGTGCAACCATACATGGGTTTGGCTGTAAATAGGGATTATGGTTCAAGGGAAACAAATGGCAAATCCATCATTGAAAGGTTGTCCTGTATTTTGTTAGGAAAGAGTCACAATTATATATTGACATCGACTTTTAGATGTTCTATGTGAGTATGGGTATTCTGAAAACTGATTGAACCTCAAAGCAAGGTTGGACACCATCTTTTGGCCTCTGTTTGAAAACCCATCCCCAGACGCTTTCCCATTTTGAGGCACGCGCACTCATGGTGTTCTTAAAGGTACCCTTTAAAGATTGGTTTTGGACCAGAGTCAGAACATGTAAGTAAATGAATATATATATATATATATAACAGGTGCTCTGTGTACCCCAAAGGTGGCCCAGGTTTTCAACAGAGAGCAAAATGCGATCATTTCGGAGACAATGTCATCCACACTTTCTCTTCCAAAGGTCTTGGGAGTGTCGTGTTTTTGTTCGGTTCCGCTTTTGAAACCCTAATAGTGTTCGAGCTGCCTCAGACACCCTCCGCCGGCGTCAGTGCCTGTCAGGCTGGCAGTGGAGTTCCAAACAAGAACTGGCAGGAGCGGGGTATGGAAACATTACGAGGCCAGAAGGGCGCGTTGCAACGCGTGCTTGCGATTCCCTCAACGGCAAAACAAACCACTCTATGCGTGGCAGAGAGCTGACACCGCATGGGTTCGATGTCAAGATGTCCAGTAGTGCATGCTCAATTCGGGTTTTCGGGCTTGAGGGTTTGTTTGGATTTGGCTGCACCTTTGGGTCGAATTTGATGGCTGTGAGAGTCGCACTCCAGATTGGAATCAACACCTTCCTTCTCGTCTTCCCCAAGACCTTCGACTTGAGCCTTGGCCGACGCCGCGAAGGGATTCTGTTGGTTGGGGATCGCTCAACGCTTAGTAGCCCTAGCACTAGCCCTGGTGGATGAACTGGCGGTTGGGAAGCTCGTGAAATTTTGGAGATGCCCCAAGCCAGGTTGATTCCGGCGAGGCCCTGGAAACTGGTGAGAAGCAAGAAGGCTGAAGTGGTGGTGACTCAAGAATTCTCCCTTTGGGCGATTCAACCGCAGCTCAGGTTTGGCCCTTCCATGGAATTCGTCCGCCTGCATCGTCAAAGCTGCCAGATGCTGTTGGATCACATCGAGGATGATGCGTGGTGGGTCTTGCGAAATGCGAAACATGACTGGGTTAGTTTCTGCATGTGCCAGACGTGAGCCAAGAGTTACCCTCTGAAAACGAGGCTTCCTCTTGGAGGCATGCCAATCTTCCCGAAAAGGATTTGGGAACCTGGAGTAGGACGTGTTGAATGTTTGGGCCCCCCAAAAGCGGCGGTTGATTCCTTAGGAGATATGACGCCAACCGTGTCAGCCAAAAAAGGGGGGCGAAATGATCACCCTGTCCCCAGTTGATTGCTGCTAGGGAAAACACGTGAAGCCAATTGTCTATGTAAAGGGATTCGGCGAAAGGGGTTAACCTGATAATGTCAGGCCAGAAGCTAGGGGAAGCTTCCCTTTTTTGGGGACACCCTAGTTTCCTAGGGTTCTTTTTCCCTTTTGGTGCTTCGCCACCAACAAACATTCCTCAACCCCAAGAAAGGTTCCTTTTCTACTGGGGTATATCCTACGCGGGCTTCATCCGGGGGTCGACGAAGTTTCCGACAAACGAGGGGCTCCGCACGACAGGTCTGAGGGTTCAGAAAGGCAGTGCCTCTTTTTGAGTTTGTGACTTCTGAAAGGAGTTGGCCTTCAACTTGGGAGTTTCATTTTGAGCAACCGCCGGTTTGAAGCCTCTCTGGTGCGTTTGGGGATTGGTCCCAATCCAAACCTCATGTGGGACGGCCAGCACCATCGCTTGTGTTTTTGTTGGGCATCTTCCATGGTAGGGGAGGGGTGTTAAAGCCTCACAGGAGCAACGCACAAGCTAACTGATATGGATCATTGCGGAGGATGAATAGAGGGAGAACGAAGCCCAATCCTTCTTTTTTTTCCCACCAAAGAGAGGAGCCGAAAGAGCAGCGCCCAAAGACCCTATTTGCCACTTCAGTAGGTGGTTCTACTGGGGTCGGGGTCACTCTTCGGGGGGGCTTCGATCTCGCTTGCGAATGTGTGGAGTAGGTGGTTCTACTTAGTAGAACAAAAAGTCGATGGGTTTTGGGTGTTTTGACCAACAAGTGATGTTGCCAGTTGCTCCCCCTCCGGAGGACGCGATGACGCGCCTTGCTATGTGCCGGCAGGAGGGAGATTGGGTGCTCATGTTTGAATGAGTGTAGATGCCTCAGCCCCCCGGCCATGTGCAGTCCGTGGATAGTAGGTGTGGTCATAGGCCACAGGTTACACTGAGGGTCTAACCTCTATCACTATTGTTGGAACTCCCCACAGGTACTCCTGCGAAGCAGCCTTTCACCCTGCCCATTGCCCTAGCAAAAGGCCCCCTAGTCTGGTATTGTCATAGTCCCGATGTCCAACTACACATCACCTCACCAAAATGAGAAGTTCGGACAGATGTGTTGCCATTGTCCTCAAGCAGGGGTGTCTTCTGGTCACTTTTTTTCCTTGGTATCGGCTCGAGGATTGCCGGATTCACTACAACATCGCGGACAAGTTTTACGAGGACCCCAAGGACAAGGCCGGGAGCCGGAGATGGAGCCGGTTTTCAAAGGCTGCAGGCAGCATTTCCCCCTACTTTCTCTTTGTGGGTCGGTTGGAGAGCTGAACATCTTGCACCCCAACCCTGGGAAGTTTGGGAAAAAAGAGGATGGAGTTCGCTCCTTCATTTCTGGCTAGTTCCAAATCCTTTCGCCACAAACACCAGCTTGTTCAGACCTCCAAACGTGGCAGATCGTTTCAACTGGATGCACTGATCAACTTTCGATTGGGGAATTCCATGTTCGAATGATTGAGGGCCTCCCCTTGCTTTCCGTCGTTCTCAACCCACTTCACATGGCTATTAGGGGGCTATTACATTCTCAGTTATGATCACAATCAGTCTTACGAGTCTTACAAAGGTGGCTTAGCCCCTGAAAAACCTAGAATCTACAGGCATCTCTTTTTGCACTGCACAACCTGGGCCCAAACGTTTGTCCCAAACCGTACGGGACTTCCGCTTGAGCATCCGATCTCGCCAGTGGGCCGAGCAAATGAGCGATCTCACCTGGGCTGCTGCCAGCCCTAAGGCGAGGGCGAGAGCTTTCGCTGGCTTTGCCGAGCCCTTTTCGAGCTTCGCCAGACCTACCCTCCGTCAGGCAAACATGGGCCCAGGACCTCCTCTGAACATGTTGTTTCTTGAACTAGATACCTGGCGCCTTCTATGTTTGCCTGAGGGACGGTAGCTCACCTTCTGCCTTTTGGTTGTGTTTCTGCTTCCCATTTAAGTAACAAGTTCGCTTGTTGCAGGGGTCTAAGTTTGGCCCAAAAGGACGCCGAAGAAGAAAACAAAAGGGGTTCCCCCCCATCATAGGATTCCCTTGCCCCTTTGTACAGGGAGGTGCAAGCCATTGCAGTGAGTTAGTTCGGGTTTCGGTTTTCGGTACAGGGAGCCGGGAGATGTGAACCCTTGTTGGAGGAAACTAGGGTGGGCCCGGGAGGTGTGTGGTTGAGTTTTTGAGGTCGTCGCATGCTTGTCCTTTGCCAAATACAAGGAACCGGTTCCCCATGTTGCAGAAGCACCCTGCTTTTGGCCGCTGAAACCCAAATGAACCCGTCGTTCGGGGATTTGAATCCCCTTTGGAGCACCACCTCGTTGGCTGGGTTTGGGGTGGCTTCGGAGTGGATGGGTTGCAAAGGCGACCCTCCAGCCGCAGTTGAAGCAGCACCGTCTGAAAGCCTGAAGCCCGGGAAGCCGAGAGCAACTCAGGTCGGCCAACCGATTGGCATTCGAAAGAGTGTGATCATTTGGGTGTTTGCGGGAAATTCATCGCCAGAGAAGTCCCAAATTGATTCCAGGCCCCAGCGAGAGTCCCAGCGATGCTGAGGCGGCCTACGTTTGTGCCGACACCTCCATCACATCGCAAAGGCTCGGATGTTTTTGGTCCATGCGACATCTTCTCAGCTTCCCTCCACTTGGTGGTTTGGATTGGTGAGTTGGAGGTTGGTGGTTTCCCAATCACCCTCGACACAAACCGGGGGTTCCAGCCCGCAAACCGCCAATCCAAACCACCAAACCCGAGCAGCATCCAACGCCGCGCAGGCAGAGTTTGACAATTCATCAGCTTTGTACATTGGACGTAGCTTCTGGGCACCGGACCTGCAGAGAGATGGGAGGTGTTGAACAAATTTGACAAAAATAGTGAATCGGCTCCAAAAGGTTAGAGCCGTTTAGGCTCGTTGCCGTCAGAACCCACTCTGTGATACTGTAAAGGCATGCACGTGTACGTTCCAATGGGATTGTGGGGCACTTTAAAGCCATATTGAGTGCAATTAATTAGCCTCAGAGCCGTTTCCCTCGTCCAGTGAGGAATCTCGGAAATGGAAAGGCAATGCCTAAGCTCCTTGTTGCTCCAGATGGGGTCTGGGACCAGCCCCTTGTGCTTGGGGTTGAGTTTGGGGATTTCCATGGTAGATGCTTTCTGTATTTCTAAAGATGACCAAACCACAAGGGTACGAACACGGGTTTGGGTTCGTTCGGTTTTCATTGGTTTTTCGGGTTCTCCTTTGCTTTCCCTTGCTTTCCTCTGGTGGCGAGAGGGTCTTTGGAGCAACGGACCTTACGTTGCTCTGCTGCCAGGACCACTTCACCAGCCGCCAGATCGAGAGGACCAAAGGGTGTGCACTAGGGCCAAACTGATTAGAAGGCACTATCAACTTTTGAGGGTACCCTTTTCAGGTTGTTTGGGAGGGGGGGTCTCTTGGTATTTTGACACATGCTTATCTTGGTGGTTCCCAAGCCATCCCTGTAGGCTTTTAGGCTTGTTAGGTTTCCACTAAAAGTTAAATCATTAGGCAGGGATTTGAGGACAGCCCAGTTATATGGTTGTGGGGTACTGTAGTAAACCACAAGTCATAGTTGTCTAGCATACATTCAAAGTAGTTGCCTTCATGTTGATTCCGGGGAAATGGCGAAAAGGGGTAGAGACCTGCGAAGCCTTCAGTGTCATGGATCCTCGGGAACGATTCAATGACATCAGGTTCGGTCAGAATCAGATGGTCCATTTGTCAGGGACGAGACGGGGGAGCGAGCTCAAACAAACAAAAAACAGCAAAGCAAGCAAGCAAGCAAGCAAGCGAGCGAGCGAGCGAGCGAGCCAGCAAGCAAGCAAAACAAATACAGAATAAATAGATAAATACAAATACATAGATACATAAATAAATGAATGAATGAACACTAAATAAATATGCAATTAAACATATATATTAAAAAAAAAAACACAAATGAATAGATACATAAGAACATAAAGACATAACTAAATACATACATGAATGCATGCCTAACAAAAATGAATAAACACATACACAAATCATTAAGCACACTTTGGATACACAACCAACCCAACCAACCAACCAACCAACCAACCAACCAACCAACCAACCAACCAACCAACCAACCAACAAACAAACCAAAAACCAACAAACCAGCAAGCAAGCAAGCAAGCAAGCAAGCAAGCAAGCAAGCAAGCAAGCAAGCAAGCAAGCAAGCAAGCAAGCAAGCAAGCAAGCAAGCAAGCAAGCAAGCAAGCAAGCCAGCCAGCAAGCCAGCAAGCCAGCAAGCCAGCAAGCCAGCAAGCCAGCAAGCCAGCAAGCCAGCAAGCCAGCAAGCCAGCAAGCCAGCAAGCCAGCAAGCCAGCAAGCCAGCCAGCCAGCCAGCAAGCAAGCAAGCAAGCAAGCAAGCAAGCAAGCAAGCAAGCAAGCAAGCAAGCAAGGAAACACACACACACACACACGCGCTCACACCCACCCACCCACCAACCCACCCACCCACCCACCCACGCACGCACGCACGCACGCACGCAATCACGCACGCACGCACGCGCGCACGCGCGCGCGCGGGCACGCGCACGCGCACGCGCAGGCGCACGCGCAGGCGCACGCGCAAGCGCACGCGCACGCGCACGCGCACGCACACGCACACGCACGCGCGCGCGCACACGCAGGCACGCACGCAGGCACGCAGGCACGCACGCGCGCACGCACTGCCGCACGTGCACACACGCAAATCACGGGACTCAGTAGTTTTCCCAGGTCCTCTTGAGGACACAGGCAAAATTCGACCGTGGCTCACATGAGCAATTGACAAAATTGCCTTTAGTCAATTGTTGGTTTGTGGAGGACATCGGCGTCGGCCCGTTTTCCTAGTGTGGATGCTGCACTGCAGCAGTTGGTAGGTGGTTTATCCCTGCACTCAGTAGGTTTCATCCATCTTAACTGGTGCAATATGTTTGGTTGAGCCACAGCATGTCCTCTTGAGGGAAGTCATTTTTTCCAGGGCGTACAGGAGATTTGACCCTTTGCAACGAGGACTTGGATTCGGAAGCCTCAGCCATGCTGAAGCCTGACGGCCTGACGGCCCGGTAGGTCTGTCTCGAGCTTCTAAAGTTCAGTGCTCTTTCAGGCGGTTGGTTTCGTTTTGGCTTTCCCTTGCAAGCGCTCCACAGTAAGGAGGGGTCGCCGTATGTTGTCTTGGTAGGGGCTGATGCCTTAAGGGGAAATAGGAACCCTGCTCCAAGCCTTCATGCAGCACCCAGGTGTCCCTTTCAAGTCCATCGAAAAAAGATGAAGCAATACCCATGTATATAGTCGTTTCACAATCCAGAGCGACACCTTAGGTGTTCACGTTTCACGAACAAGTGACCGTTGTAGGCGCCGGTCGCTTGATTTCAAAGATGTGCATTGTGTGCTCGTCTCGTACTCCTGCCTGTTTTGTTTTTTTACTTTGCACCCCGAAAAGGGGGGTCTTTTCGATCCAAGGTCCCAAAAATCGTGCTAGCCTTATGATTTTACCATTTTCTAAGTCATCCCCAAGTAGGTTAACGGGAAAATAACTTCCTGGATTTCTGCCGTTCGGCGTTGGTTGAGGCGTGTTGACTTTGTGACTGACCAGAGCCCTGCTTGCATGGTGTAAAGATGTACTTAACGAACATCAACCTGTTTGGTCCCGGGGGTCTATTTCCTGGCAAACTAGCATGGAACTCCAAAAGCAGATTCCCCTGAACAATCTGAACATGATGGTTTGTTGGGTCCCACGTTAATCTGCACGAGAGGATGCCTCATTCCGAGCTGGCGACTTGGCTGCTCTCTGCTTCGAGAAACGATTGTGACAGGAGAAGTTAATCGCCCACCACCAACAAGATCAAAGATCAACCTGTCACAGACTACGCAAACGGGGCTACTCTCCTTAAGGCTGGACAATTAGCTTGGCGGAGATAGATGTGAGCTTGACCTGTGTTAGTTCAATCTTGAGGTTGAATACTTGCGAAAGGGGGGGTCTGTCTTGATTCTGTAAGGGCAAGTCATTAGGCGTTTGGGCACAGAGTTTACAAAAGCATCACATGTCTTCCATCAAAGCCCATTTGTTTGCGTGTCCAAGCAACACATTGGCGCGTGCCTTTGTACAATTTATTGGCTTTCCAGGCTAGGCATCATGTTTGGACTTGGCTGGCCAGCACAACAAATATGCGGGCTCCTCAAGTTCGATCTCGCTACCGGAATGTACCTCCTCCATAGATTCGCCTCGCGGCCTCTGGGGGGGTTTCATGATTTCACACTTTGCTGCAAGAGCACCGTCATGGAATCTCAAAGAAACCGTCCTGGGTTCCATGTCTCAGAAGTGCATCACTCGTGTATATTTATATCAATATTTTTTCTCCAGGCTTGGCCCAAGCTTGAGAGTGCTAACGGAGAGAGATTGAACCGACCCCCTCCCCCAAAGGTCGGGCTCTTCCGCTAAATTGGTAAACACGATTCATTTTTAGGGGCTGGATTGTGTCGCGAGAAAAGACACAACTGCTCCACCCCGCCAATGTTTGGAGTGCTTGTCCTATTTTAGAAAGACACGTTTCCCAACAGTCGGGACTACAATTGCCGAGTTGCAACGACTCCGAAGCGCGGCTTTGGCCAATGTGTTTCGCACATGAACTGCTCGCAGCAAGCTTGAGCTCAAGTGTGAAGCTGTGAGACCGGGTGTCAGAATCGGAGCTTGATGCGCATGCGAGAACCACTTTCTTGCGTGGAGCGGGACTCTGCCACGTGTTCACTCACAGCTCATGCAAAGGGTTAGGGTCTCGGAAGTTGGGTGCAAGCCCGGACTCTTTGGCCAGCATAGCTGCTTGTCGAAACAAGACTGCAAGTGTACAATCCATCGCAAGACAGGCGCACACACACAGAGAAGCGCACAAACGCACAAGCCACAGCAAGACGCCTCTTGCTGGTTGCAATTGTCAAAGCCGCACCAGTACAGGCAAGTAAATACACACGCATTCTGTGGGCATCAGATCGCGCCCATCATGGAGCCTGCAGGGGCCCTGGTCGTTTGTAGGGGCTTGAAGGGAACGACGGGTACGTAGCTGAAGACTTGAGTTTGAAGAATCCACTTCCCCCAGGACGAAAGTTTGCAGCCAAAACTTGATTCCTTCGCTCATGACCTGTTTCCACCTTTTCTCACGAGATTTGCGGCGGGGCAAAGCTCAACGCAGGACTAAAATATTATAGTTTCAGTCCGGGGTGGAAATCTGGCCCGCCGCAAACAGCTTGGGAAAAGACTTGCAGGAGTCTATGGCGGAAGGGTTTGCATAGATTCCAGGCAGGGGATCTTTGGTCTTCTCTTTCAAATCTATGTTTTCCTTCTGCATATCAGCCAAAGGGGGGCGTATCCACAATTTTGGGAAAATCCTACATGACCATGGAAGTTGGTCGCCTTTCAAATCCCAAGCCACTCATGTCCCATGGTTCTGATGGTGTGTATAGTTTGCCCCCTAAATGGCGGTTTCCCCTCTAAACCAGCAACAACAAGTTGCCGACCAAAGAGAGACGATCCGCCCACGTCAACCTAGCCAGGACACCGTGCCCTACGACCCTGATGAGGCGGCCTGGTCCACCTGGCAGGCCTGGTGCCCTCTGGCAAGCCATGGGATACTGAGCATTCAACAGGGAGTCGGTGAAGAAGCCACCGGCCAGAGGGGCCACGCAAACCAGGGCCGGTGGTTTGGAGGGTACTTGGATGGTCCGGGAGTTACATGGTTTGTACTTCCCAGTCAATCCGCAGGTCAATCCATTAAACCCCTTTGCAAATCATTTAGCTGGCGCAAATTGAAGGTCTCTGATGAGGTTCCCAATTCCGTTTTATGGAAGCAGTACTTTGGCCAGATGTGGCTGGAGGGACTTGCAAAGTGGTAAATTAGCCGCCCCCGAAACCCTTGTGACCAGTGTCACGTACCATGTGGCGATCACCCCCATTTCCACCACGGACACCTGGGTGTGTCTCTTTTGCGGATACGTCTTTCAAGGTTATTTTTTCACGGAGACCAAAGGGAAGCCTTCCATTTTGACTCAACCCGCCCCACACCACGCCCTGCGCACAAATGCATTGGGAGGTGCCCTCCTACTCCGCCTGCCAGAAGCAAATGGCGCCGCAGCCCAGGGGGGCCATGGCTAGGTTTCCTTATCAGTAGAGCCGGCGAAGTCGGTTGGCGAGACCCGGTTGGCGAAGTACAGTTCTCTTTACAGGTTTGGGGTTGTTAGATTTTTACGTGACATCCGTCCGCCACAACCAGCCCGCCTGCCAACGGAGCGTGTGACAAACACCTGTGACAGAGCTTGTGAAAGACAGATGTGACAGGCAGCGAGGAGTCCAAAGCCTGAAACTCGGAAGCCTGGGGCCGGCTCCCTCGAGAAATGTTTTGCGTAGATCACATATTGCTCTTTCTCTTTCTCGACCTGTCTATCTAGCTATCCAGCTAAGCTACTGTATCCTAATCTAACCTGTTCTAACTGTCTGTCTATCTGCTTATCCATCTATCCATCTATCTTCTTTCCATCTATCTCTTTATCCATCGATTGACCCGATCGGTCGGTTCATCTATCTCTCTACCTACCTACCTTTCTATCTATCTGTCTGTCTGTCTATCTATCTACCTATCTATCTACCTATCTATCAACTTATCTTGAGTTTGCGCGTCCGCGCCGATGGGACTTGCCACGCGTTTGTCAAAATGCCGCGCTGGTCACGCAATTTGCGCCTGAGTCTGCAAAGCGCTGCGCCTGCCACGAAACCTACACCTCAGGCTGCCAAAGCGCTGCGCCTGCCACGGACAACAAAGTGCTGTGCCTGTGCCGATGTGCTGCGCCTGTCATGCAAAACTGACGTCGCGAAAAGTGCGCGCGTTTGTGCCGGATGGCCCCGGGTCCGCGCCCAGGCGTCACGACCGAGGTAGCCGTCAGACTGAGGGTCACAGTTTTTCCGAGCTTTGTTCCTCGCCACGCGCCCACATGCAGTAACTTTTTCTTGATCTTGTTTGTGCGCCAGACTACTTTCAATCAGTGTTCCACGAAGTTCCTCATAAACTTGTTGCATAAATGAGTCTGTCTGGGTCACAAAATGCAGCAAGGGCCCAAATGAGTTGGTATCCTCATAGAGGCATGAAAAAACAGCGCATGAACGCTTCAGGGGTACAGGGCATGCGCCGCGCGCTCGAGGATGGCCAGTTCCAGCCTCCAGAGCCCGCGGCGCCAGCGGACGAGTTTGCCCCGCGGCTCGGCGGAAGAGGTCTCCGCGCGGAGCCGTGACCTTCTGTTTTCTTGTTGTCAACACCAGCAACTAACCCTAATTTTACCGGGTTTTTGCGGTCTTAAGATCGCGTGGATATTGCCTGTCAGTTGGGGTCCCGTTCCATACGCTTCGTGTGTGACGATAGGACCATCGCCTACGAGACCTTCGCGGACCCGGTACCGGGGGCCGCGTCCCCAGGTCAGGGATGTTGGCTGGGAAAGGACGGATCGCAAACGAGATGACCATTTCCCCACTTACGAGACGAGAGCCAGTTGTCATCTTCTGGCAAAGCCGGGGGAGCTAAAAACACTCGGGCTCTGCAAAAATCAGAAACACTAATTATTTTCCCATGTGGGCAACTCCCACAACTGGGTCCCAGGTTTAGAGGGTCATTTTGAGGATGTCACGGTAATGCACCCAGGTAGACAAATAGAAAGGGATGTCCCCTGAAACAGTTTGGCTGCATCCTGTCAAGTCATTTTTGTTGACTTGCTTTCAATTCCCAGAATCAGAAATTGCTAATGATCTTAGAGCTTGGGACCCCCAAAAATGGGTCCATCATTTGCGGGCCCTTGAACTTTTGACCCCGTACCAGTGGTGAAATGGGATGTTGTCCGAAAACAGGGATTGAACCGACGCCTCCCCCAAAGGTCGGGCTCTTCCGCTAAATTGGTAAACACGATTCATTTTTAGGGGCTGGTTTGTGTCGCGAGAAAAGACACAACTGCTGCACCCCGCCTATGTTTGGGGTGCTTGTCCTACTTTAGAAAGACACGTTTCCCAAAAGTCGGGACTACAATTGCCCACTGCAGCCAAGAAAAAGGGTTACTAGGAGAATCTTAAAGCTGCTTTTGATCCATAGGTAGGGAGACAATTTAGGGTGTTTCTCAAAATAGGGGTTCCCTGAAAGGGTTGGTTTCCGTTTACTGCCCCTTTGAACACCAACAAAAAGGGGGTCCACCAGTTTGAACGTTAGCCGCTGCTGGTGGTAATCCGTCTGAGCCATTTCCTGGGTAAGCCCCAACCAAAAACAGGTGCGGAAAACAAGAATCGCGATCTGGAACTTTGGAATACCAGGGTTTGTTTGTCATGCTTTTGGTGTTCAGAATTCAAGACCTCTCCAGGTCAGTTTCCTTCCTTCTACCACGTGTAAAGAAGCTTTCCGTTGTCAATCCTTACACAGTTTTGGGCATTTCAATTTTGACCACTGGTTCGAAGTTTAGAACAGGTTTTGATTCATCCCATGTCCCAAAAACTGGGATCTACGGAGGTGGATGATGGCACCCTCGCCTACGATGGCAATGGGCCAGGCGCATGGCTTACCCAAACCACAAGCCCCGAAAAGAATGGTGTGTCCATTGCTTCTGTTTTCGGAAGCTGTCTTGCTAGCTTCCCTCTCGACTCGCAGGCGGAGTGCCCCAAGAAAGCCGGGGCATGGCGTCGGCGCCCGAGGCTTACCTGAAATGAAAATTGAAACAATCCGGGAATTAGCTAAGTTGGCAACCCTCAGTAACGTGCAGTGAATCCGACTGTAAACCCTTGCGAGGGTTCTATCCGTCTAGTTTACCCCAAGACTATCGAGGAGGGGGCCGCCACAAGTAGGTGTGGACGCCTGGAGCCATCCCTTTTTGTTTGTTTGTCATGGGTTTTGGGTAACAGGTTTGTTTTGGGAACTTGGACTCTACAGTCGCTTTGCCACACATAGGTGCGGAAAGCTAGAACCGCGCATTATGAGTGTTGAGTAGACCTTGTTGTTGATACTAGGTTTTGATGATGAGCCAAGGTGGCGTTTCTTGGGCTGAGGTTTCTTGGGGGTTTGAGAGGGTGGGTTAAGCTGTTGTTTGTATTCTTATTGTACTTGCATGATATGTGTTGGTTCTGTTCATGTTTAGCCAGGAGGGTTGAACAAACACAGGTTGTTCGCAAGTACCAGGAGTTGGGAGACAGCGGAAAAGTCGCTTTTAGCCTTCGATAAACCTGACTTCAGCTGAAAGCGATTGCTGGCATTTGGGTGCTTTTGAGGGTATCCTGTTGGGGGTCGCTTCAACATGTCTTGACAAATACTGCGAAGTATTAAGATGCAGTTGGTTTTGGAAGACTAGTTTCCTTTGGGGGACGCCCCCTGTCCACTTTCATCGTTGGAAAAAGGGCAATGAGGCCAAACTTAAACAGGTGTCAAAAGCACAAGCGCTGATCTAAATAGGGCCCGTAAAATCCCGGAACGCATGTACCATGTAAGGACTTGTTGCAGCCACTAAGCCTGATTAGTTGGATTCTCAGCGTTCGCAGGCTGAAGGCTTGATGGTTTCAGCTTGGTAACTCGGTTTGACCTTTGACCTTGAAACGCCGGGAACTTATGGGAAACCAGTGCGAAACCGCTAGGAAACCTGTAGGTACAGTAACATATGGGAGACCCATGGGAGCATGAAGGTTTCCCCTGCAAGTTGAACAAGCGGACATTTTTTCTAAGGGCTCAAAGACCACTGTACGGAGACACCAATTCCAGAACCGCTGGGTTGGGATCGATGGTGGGTGCGCATGAGGCCACAAGAGGCGCCGGCGAAGGCTGAGGCGGGATGACAGCACAAGTGTGCCGTTTGGTTGCTAGTTTCGTTGAATATTGATGAATTCCGCTGGTTACAGCTTGGTTGTCATCAGTTACTGGTGCCATCTATTTGTTCAAAAGGACAAAATTTGGTTTTGGCGCGGGAGCGAGCGGGTTCCGTGTGTGGGGGCTGGGACTCTTGCCTTCTAGAAGCAAAATACACCAACTGGAGATTGACGAACTCAACGGGTCCCCGATTTTTCGAGACTCCGGACCCAGAGTTGGCAGGGCGGAGGGGACTATCCAGACGGCCATGGTAAGGCTGCCACCCTGGCGTATGGAGATACGCTTGTCCGGCGCCCAATTACGTGCACGTGTGCATGTAGGAGAGTGGGCAGCTAAGGGCGTTCATGGAGTTTGTTGGGAAACAGACAGGAAGCTAGGCTAGACCCCGTACTCCACACAGATGCCTATTTCATGGATTTAGGGTTTAGGGTTTTTGTGGCGTCCAAGTAACTGCCTCTTTTGTTAGTCTGGAGTTCATATCATAGACCCCCAAAACAGGTATTTCGAGAGGGGGCATTCTAAACACTTGAGTCCTTGGTGGTTTACCAATACCACTTCAAGATGACGTGATGAGGGAATGGGGAATCCGTGTTTAGCAAACGGTCAAGAGTAAACACATAAAGTTTTGGGCACGAGACTCTTTGCAAATCAGGAAACAAAACGCAAAGCTCTGGGCATCAGGGATACTGGCTCCATCAAACGGCTTCTTCTGCCCCGGGGCCATATTTCCCTCTTTGGAAGGATGACACAAGCAGTTCTTTGCCATGTGTGGGGTGGCATACGAATATGGCTGATGCCCCACTGCCAAGCCCCCCGCCCTTCACCTCCCCCGCTTTTGTTTTTCAAATGATCACCGTTGGGTTGGGTTTTCATGAAGTTGTAAAAACAAACAAAGCTGTGCCGGTGTTGGAAGGGAAGCACGGAACCCGCACAAAAGCCATCGACTCTTCAGGTGTTGGAGCCTGAGGCAGGCGGCTGGGGGGGCTGGGCTGCAAGCCTTTGGGTATGAGCAACCCTGGGTTGTAAGGTCTCCAAGCCACCAATGCAAAGCACCAAGTACATATTTCGACCAGACTAAACGGTTTTTGGGTTGGTGACACGAAGCAAGGTGAGGCTGAATGGCCGTAGATGTGAGTTTGAGCCCTCATCGGTGGTGGCTTAGCCTTTTTTGACAGGCCGAGAGGTCCAGGTTGAGAAGGACCCAACTGGTCGTTGGGGGGCTTACCAGCAAAAGGGCATGTGATGGGTGGGTTGCATGAGCTCGGTTCCTGCTTGAGTGGGCATGATGACCAGCCGCAAAGATGCAGGAAGTAGCGAGAGAGGAAGCAGCGAGAGCGGAAGCGGCCAGACAGGAAGTGGCCAGACAGGAAGCGGCGGCCAGACAGGAAGCGGTGGCCAGACAGGAAGCGGTGGCCAGACAGGAAGCGGTGGCCAGACAGGAAGAGGCAAGACAGGAAGCGGCGGCCAGACAGGAAGCGGCGGCCAGACAGGAAGCGGCGGCCAGACAGGAAGCGGCGGCCAGACAGGAAGCGGAGGCCAGAGAGAAAGCGGCTAGGGAGGAAGCAGCGAGAAAGGAAGCAGTCAGAGAGTCCCAAGCAGAGACCCAGCAAATAGAGGTGGGAGAGATGGAGAAGGAGCACACGGTCGCAATGCCAGAGAAGCCCGTGACAAGCCCAGCACCAGAGGAGAAGCCCACGCCAAAGTTGCCAAAGGCGGCGGCGAAGTCGCCGAAGGCGGCTGCGAAGTCGCCGAAGGCAGCACCGAGGTCGCCGAAGGCAGCAGCGAAGTCGCCGAAGGCAGCGGCAGCAAAGCCGGGGGCAAAGAAATCGAGCGGGAGCGCATCGCGTGCGAAGTCTGGACTGAAGCGCTTGTGGGGGAAGCAGCCACCGCCTCCAGGCGCGCCTTTTAACCCGTGGAAAAATGACTGCTTCCCCGAACGGGTGCCGAAATTACCCTATGGAGGCACGTCACGTGTGGGTGTCCTTTTTTAGGAGTGCGATGCTCCATGTTGGAAATTCACGGAGCCAAAGTTTTGCTTGGGCTTGCCTCTGAATAGAACAGCACAATTCCGTGGCCGCCGCTGTTGTGGGGAAGGACATATCTTTTTGCATGCGGTCTTTTCGCCTATCCCCGAACACGTGGCTGAGAGCTTTAGCCAACGACAGCTGCAGGCTACGTCCCACCAAAGGCGGCTGCGCCAAAAATCAAGGCTACGCCAGCGAAACGGGCCACGGCCCGAGCCTGGGCAGGGCAGTTGTTTGGCCTAGGGTCTGAATCTTGATGGGGAAGCTCCCAAAAGTGCGCGGAGATCGCATCAAATCTGGGTTTCCCCATAAACCGAGAACGTGATTTTCTGTGTACACCAGCTGCTAAGAAATCTTGGAGCGCTGTTTTTGTTCAAGAACCTGCTTCGCGCAGCTTGATTCGATTTGTGCCAGCCCTGCTTTTGCACAACACGTTTCATCGACCGGTGCCCGCGATCTGCCACGTCTCTTTTATTGGTGCCTGCCTTGGGGTCGAGACCCAACTCAGAACAGTAGAGACAACCAACAAATTGCCCTTCCATTGCCAGGGCGGTCCTGGTGAGGGGGAAATCATTCTTCCCCCCCCCCCCCCTTTTGAAGGAAAATGGCAATCCAAGCAGGGACTGCATCAATGACAAAGTGGGGATGTGTTGCAGTTGATTGATCTGCTAGGGTTCTGTTCATGTGCGGGCTCTCAGTTGGGAAAGCTTGTCTCAAAATGGGTGTGTCTTTTTGAGGAGGGCCCTGTTTGGGCGAAACTGAGCGGGAAACCGCCCTTCTTGTTGTTTTAGTCATTTGGAGACAACCCCAAATAGGGCCATTGCCCGTTAAAGTAGCCCTCAAACTGCCGGTTTCGCATCGCTATCTTCGAGGCGTCGGCGCCTGCCAGGCGGGGAGCCCAAGTTGGGAATCCCAAACTCAGCAAGAGCTCACGAGGCGTCAAAAGCCAAGGATCTGGCGGCTCAGTCCAAGGAGCTAAGGCGTGCGTTGTGGTTGATCCTGTCAAACAAGCGCAGAAGGGGTGAAATGAACCTCCCCAACAAAACGGGCGTGAATGCTAATTGGTTGGGCCGTTTGGTGGACGGCAGACATACATGTGAATTTATGCACCAATCATTTTGCAGCAGGATCTGTTGCCTCGACCCTCTATCAGACTTTCAGTTTCTGAATCAGATTTGGATTGTTCCTGCCCCCTCATGACTGGTTCACATCTCATGTTTCAATCTATTGGAACCCACCCGGCAACCCTCAAAGGTTTGTTGCCTGGGACATCCAGTGGAACATTACCCGATTGCAATTTCCAGGGAAGAGCTGAAGAACGACTTGTATTTCGCTTCATGTCGTGCGTCTTCCGCAGACGTACTCCAACGGTGTAATACAACATTTGTCACAGGATTGCGCCGAGAAACCGGGATGCCTTCATCTTCCCGCTCAGACCCATCCGAAACCATCCAACTGTTTGCCAGTGTGCAGGGGCTATCAAAGTCAGAAATCGGGATCATGCTGTTCAAACCTCCCACTGGATGACTTTGATAAACTGGGCCTGTCCTTTTGAGGCTGTGAAACGAGAAGCAAAGTGAAACTGAACACAACTAGGAATCAAGGGGAAACCAAGGGCAAAAATGAAGCCAAAGGGATAAGTTCTCGGGGATTAACCCTTTGTTTTAGCCAACCAGGCCTCCGGTGTCTCTGCCGGCGGCGGCGGGTCACCTGGTGCCGCGCTGAGAGAGTTCGCGGCTGCCAATTTTGAGCGCACCTGGGCCGGGGAACTAAAATGAGCTATGAAGGTTCACTACTTGGAGGTCCAATTCTTATTCAGGTTGTGGGGTTGTTGCAAAAACATGGAATTTTGCCCATCCACTGCAATCTGCCAGGGGTGTTCAAGGACACTGGGCTACATTGGCATGCCTGTTTTGGATGGTCCCCTTTTTGGGATTGTCAGCGGCACCCATGCGCCGGGCGCCAGGTGGCATCAACCAGTCTTGATAGGGTTTTTCTTTATTCTAGCTGGTCTAAAGCGGATTTTGTCAATCCACAGAATCGCCCACTTTTGGCAAAAGGTTCTACCAGGCTTGGTTGATGTTGTTCTGGCCTACCCTAACAAACCATTTATGATTTTTGAGAATTGGGGTTCTACTAGGTTTCGTAGCCATGGTAGCTCACATGTTACTCAGAAGCATCGAATTGGGACGTGGGAGAAGCGGGGATCACCATGTCTGCAAATGTGTTTGCCAAGTTGCCCTTCCTTCCACTCACACAGAAGCTGACGGAATCATTCTTTTCACCCTAGGTGAATTTCCAGAATTCACCACCCTGATTACGGGAAACCCCTATGAAGGAGCCTCACTATGGGGAAGGTTGCGAACCAAGTCCCTTTGTCAGGTGACTATGATTTGCCCAGATTCCATAGTGGTATAGTGGTGGGAAGTTGTTGGTTTGGGGTTGCCACTTTAGCCAATCCCCTGTAAATTGACAAAGTAGTAACAGGGATGGGAATCAACCACCGTTGTATCGGAGAAGGGGGCGGCAATTTCCTAGAACCATGTGCTTTGGTTTCCTTTGAACGCCCGAAATGGGATCCTTCCTATCTTTGAATCCACCCATTTATAGCCACCAGAAAAGGGGTGAGACAACTCAGAACTGGGCTCTCTTTTGAACTTATTTTATAAGGTTCATTACATATAAACCCGAACTTGTAAAAGCTTCAATATTGGGAGCCATGGGTCCTGAATGGCTCCTAATAATCACCATTAGAAACAAGTCGGGGGCAAGCGCCGAGGTCGAAGAAGCTAGAGGGGCTGAGCAGGGGCCCCTGTTTTTCCCACCCCAAGCCTGCCTTTTTGGCCTCCCTTTTACCTTTTGGTTTATGGTTTTAGCAAGCGCAGGTTGGAGGTCAAAAAGCAGGGTCCCCCACAGATGAGCATTGTGAGCTCCTCTCTCTCAGGTGCTTGTCAAGGGCGATGGTTGGGGCGGTGGTACCGGCGAGTGCCCTCGAACGAATCGGTCTTGCTTCAGGCTTGATGTTTGTGAGAACACTCTGTAATTCGACACAGCTTGGATTGCTTGTTCTGGATTCCAACTATGTTTCCCTTTAAGGTGGTGTAAGACATCACCTTTTGCAAAGGCCAGTTTATTTGGTGGATTCCTTTGGTAGGGTGATGTCTAGAGGGCGGAGATGGGGAACCCGTTGTTCTCAGAAAGGAATATAGCATGGATCCGAACGTGGGGAATGTTTGTGTTATTCAGCCGCATTCCCTGGTTGGTGCTTGCTCAAAACCTTAGAGCCCGCTATCATCTATTAACCGCTTTCAGGCCTTGTGAGGAGCTTATAAACTCGGCTTGTCCCGGAATAGTCACCCTCAAAACACCTCCCTGTCCGTTGGATCTGAGAGTGGTAATATCCCTTGGTCATACCTGGTTATGAATCCAGTTTATGGGTGCATGTTTCTTTTGGAGCCTGTTCCTTGGTTCCCTGGTTAGCCCACTTTTACATGGATGCCGGGGACAGGATATGAACAACTCCCTTCCTGGAGGTCTGATGACCCCGTGGTTCTCAGCAGAGACTCATAAGGGCTTTGGGTATGAATCTGGGGATCCTTTGAAAGGACCACAGGGGGGTGGCTTAGTTCGTGCTCACTCCGACTGATTCCTGTCAGAGAACAAGGTCTGAGGAGAGAAATGCGCGAAATCGGAGGTACCAGGCGACCGTGGTGGACGCCGACGATCTGTCGCTCACAGTCGTGTACAGGGGGGATGACAAGAGCTGGAAGGAGCACTCCGCGGCTTCAGTGGATTTCGGGCCCCTCTGCATCCCTCTTGGTTTGGTGGGTTGGGTGGGTCTTGGTCCTTGGCTGGGCAGTGCTCGAGCGCATGTTCAGGTATGGGGTCTGGAGGTACGGATGCAATCTACGGTATGCCGGCCTCCAGAACCCACAATTGAAAATGCCCTTGACCAGGCGATATTTGCCACCGTAGTGGGCAAGGACGACTTTTTTTCTGGGTTGGAGGCGAGTTTTTGCTACTCTGGGGACCTCCTGCCTTTTGAGAGGGTGACCTTTGAAACCAATAAGAGGGCGCCCCCAAGTTTCCAAATACCACCTGAGGGCTCTCTTCTAGTCCAAGAACCTGACCACTTTGTTTGCATTGGTGTCTTCTCTTTGGTCTTTGCGCTTGTCGGATTTCTTATAGCCATGCTTCGAACCAAAGACCGGCAATAGGGTTTTCTTCGGGTAGAAGGACCACACTTCGAGTACTAGCTAGGGCTTTCCAACTTGCCCGCATTTTCTCAGAACATGCGCCCCAAGCTTGCAGAAACAGCACGGCCAGTCTTGGCCCGTTTTTCACAGATCTGGACGAAGCGCTTGTCCCGGCTCAGGGCGAGATGGTTTTTGTTCGTGCCTTTGGGGAAACAGAAGACTCACTCAGGCGCCGCTGTGGAAACGGGTTTTCTCGTTTTGAGGTAACCCTCCAAAGGCATGGTGTCCATTTATTTTCCCCTAATCAACCCCGCAGCAGGTACAGGATTTTATGATGCTTCATGTTGCACTTTCTGACGGGAAGCCTCTGCAAAGTGACAATGTTATGGGAGTGTGACAGATGTTGAGCCAGGGATAGACTCAGGGGGCCAACAAGAGGAGACGCATGTCCTGCGAGAGCATTGCACCTTTCTGGAGCCTGTCCGTGAGGCGGGATCCGAACGGTTCGGACTCCGAATGGACATCGCATATAAGCCTTTGGGATATTTCTTGAGGTCGGTACCCTGGATGGTCGCATAGCCCAAACTGAGATTGGGTTATGTAAGTAGGATCCTAGACTTAGGCGATGAATTGGAGGGTTCGGAGCCAGCTCGGGCTTCACAACTATCATCAAACCCACAAGAACGAATTGCAGACATGCGTGTCAAAGGAGTTGATCTACTTTTGGTTTCGATGTCAAGAGGAAACCAACATAACTTACTGTGGCCAGAAGAGGACGATGCCTAGTTTTGAATCGCACACCGTTTGCAATGGCCAGAGTGCCCAAATCTAGGCTTTCCTGAGCATCGGTTCCTCGCCTTGTTCTTCTTTCTTTTTCTATCATTCCAGGGAAATCGCTCGCTTGCAGAAAGGGGACTTGGGGTTCTTCAGTCCGAGACTTTTGGAGCCACAATCCAAAACCGAGGTAGATGAAGCTTGGATTTGGGGACGAATGCATTAGGGTTAACCAGTTGGCTAACCTCCACACCATCTTAGTAGGGGACAGTCCCCTGTGTAAATAGGTGGAAAGGCAAGACGCCTTTCTGTTCGATTCTTTACATGGGGTTTTGAGCATCCTTTGATATTCGGCTTGGTTATGATCAACATGGTCGTGTTTGAAAATACCCCAAGAAGCTTTGTAACCGCTGGGTTTTGCAATTGGCTAACAATTGGACACCCCTCCAGGGTGGTTTCCTTTAGGCTTCCTTTTGGTTTCCTTTGAATACCAGGTGTTGAGTAAATATGGGTATGTGACATGTCCAAATAGGGCTGCCCACAACAATGAGCGGCGTTCGTTGGAATCCCTTTGCTCCCGATTCCACAAAGGGTACTCGAAAAAGAGCCCATATGACTTTCTTTGGCTTCACGCACTGGCACTGGAGGGAATCTCTGGGTATTTTGTATCGGGGGTGGGGTTGTCAACATTGGTCTTGGAACCCGGCCTTCAAAGAAGGGAAGCCGTGTTTGTGTGGTCTCAAAGGGAAGCAACAAGGAAGCAAACTATTTTGGGGTTGACAAGGGAAGCCCCAAGGAAACCTAATCAGTTCGGGGGCATCTTGAATCACTTACTTGAATGCCTTACATCTTTGAAAATCAAACACAAACCGGTGATCCGGTTCTCAGAAGGGCAAGGGGGAATAACCTATATGAACCATTGCTCGTGGTTTCCTTTCAGGGAATCCCAACCGGTTCATTCCCACCTCCCCCGGTTGATTCCCCTGAGAACCAAGTCTGGCGCAGGATACAGCAAAGTCCTCGCGCAGAAGGACCCATTAGCTTCGGGGCTCTCAGGCGCGCGACCCGACTCACTGCATTTCAAAGGACCTGACTCGCGAATTGTGCAAAGTCCATACACTCAGGGAATCAAGCAAAGTTTTGGGAATGGCCCGTTTCGAGAGCCCCTTGAAGGAACCCCTAAATGATGGTTTTTGTCGGGGTCAATGGGTCAATCCCTCATTTCCTGCTGAGAGCCAGCAAGACCACTACCCAGACATTCCCTGCATGTTTTAGGCTTTGTCAAACGCAAATTGTCACATACCAAATTCCCAAACCCACCGGCAAGTTGCTTGAGGGATTCTGCTCGGCCAAGGTGTGGGGGGTGGGGGGTGGGCATGGCGCCTGTAGACACCGACAAATAGCTACATCTGGGTTTTTCGTGCTGCTCATGCTGGCTTCCGGTGACGCAAAGGGGCCATCAACTTGCTCTTTCGGTTCCCAACTGACAAGCGAATCGAAGAGGCCTTGGGCTGAGTGCAAAGATGGCACAGGAGGGAGCGGGAATCCACTCACCAAGTCACAATGCGGAAATGAGCTTAGACCTCCACCAACATCACATGTGTTGCAACAAACATGTGGCAGCCAATCCAGCGTAGCGTATAATCAGTATAGTGTAGCGTAATGTAATGCAATGTAAAATAAGGCAATTGCAATTGTCATATAACGTAGCACATGTGTTACGCCTTCCAATTTTCGAACACCTCCTCTATCAGCTTTGAGACCTTTGTTTGGAGCCCCCTGCGGGAACGTGGAAAGTCGACCTTGTATGCCAGGATGGCAGCAGCACAGGGGTGTGCAGAAGCCTCGTCTCCTGAGCACAGCAAGCAGCAGCTTGCCCGCGAAGAAAGGGGAATCAAGCCGAGCATGCCAGATCAAAGGTGGCAATTGTCATAATCCGTCTGTATGGACTGGCCGTTGAATCCATGCATCCGCAGCCTTTGTGGCTCACTTACATCAGGCTCCGGAAATGCAGTGCTGAGAAAACCGTACTGAAATTAGTCGTTGGTTTGGGAGGTCACGAAGTTTGCCACCGAAGACCAGCAAATGTGTCATTTTTGGAGGTGTAGTAAATTTGAGGCGCGAAGAGGTTCTCGAGTCTCCGTCCTCCACTGGCAAGTACGAATGATCGGAGGGAGGCCCTCCCAATTCTTGGCAAATGCCTTTTGCCAAAATACCAAGAGTCCTGCCCCTTTTGGCAAACACCTCTCCACTAAACTACCAAAGGGAGCCCCCCACATCATGTGTGTGTTTTGCTTGTTTTTGCTGCCTCTCCACAACACGTCGCAGCAAAGAGCGGGAGAAAACACCACACATCCGCTACTAGCTTGGAGTTTTCTACGTGAGCGGGCCATGGGCTCGCTCCGCCCGTGGAACCTCTTTGGCAAGACCGCCTACAAGGTCTCGACCAATGCCGCCGCATCTGGCGTGGGCTTGGGGAGCCCAGCATAAAATGGGAAGCTCCTCTTGTTGGAACACTCAGGGTTGGTCATCTGCCCCAAGGGCTAAGGGACCCATGACCATGGCCAGGACCCCTTGAAAAGCCAAAGAAGACCTGAGTCAGGTGGCAGTGTGGCAATGGCAGGACAGTGCCGATCCCCTGCGTTGTGACCAAGAGTTGTTGAAGGGGGGTCACTACCTGCAAAGTGTTGTTGGTAGCTATTCTTAGGATTTCACCAGATTCAAGTTTCCTTGGAAAGAAGGCCGCCCTTTTGGCTACATACCCGCTGATGAGGTACCAACTGATGAGGTATCGACAGATGAGATATATACCTTGGAACCATTCGGTGTCCTTCAAAGAGTTCCACGCAGAACACGCTGATGTCCTCCTGGGGAAGGACAGGCCTATCCCAGTCGCGCCGTGCTCCTTTGACCCGCAAGATCCCAAAGAACCCGCTTTGTTTGGTTTTGAAGGCAAGCCAAAATGACAACTCTTGCCAGAGTTGGGCGTTGCTCTTTAGTTTGACCTGAAAGACCTTTGAACTTGTTGGTAGATGGCAGAAGTGTCCAACCACGAAGAGACAACTAGCGGAGCTCGCTTTTCGTGGAGGTCTTTATTCGCACAACCCACGGTAAGGGCCGTGATTGGGTCCTCCATTAAGTTCTTTTCAGGGGGCCCTTGAGGGGTTGGGGTTCTCCGTTGAAGAGTATTTTTGGGGAGGCTCACACTGACCCAGCTGGCAGAACATCATGGGACAAATCCGGCCCCAAAGTGGTTTCGATTTCCTCTAAGAGGTACGCCAAACATGTCAACGAGAAAAGGCTTTGGCAAAGCCGCCCTAAAACAGAGGACCGTCTTTGGTGGGCTCAACCTTAGCTGCAGGGATATCCCTTCCCCCCCATTCCTTTTGAACTTGTGTCAGCGAATCTGGCGCGAATAGACCTCTACTCCTCAACTAAAGGCTTAACCAGCTTAACCTCAAGTTAAGTTTTGTGTTTAGGTACAGCAGACCCCAAGGTTTGTTGGCTCAGACGCCCGAGCTTCGGAAACAAAGGCCCTGCCAGCAGCAACCTGGCGCTGCAGCTGAGCCAAGCCCGGGCGCGGCGCCAGGCGCGGGGCGCGGGGCAATGCGCGGGGCAGCGCGCGGGGCGCGGCATTCGCAGGTTGGGGGTTAGAGGCCCATTCAAAACCCCCCAAAGGTATCGGCTTCCTTGGTCCCCAGCCAAAGTGCTTCTGGTCAGGTTTCTTTTTTGAGCAAGAGTTGATTCAAGGCCCTTGTAAAGCTCTTCAGATTCGTTCAAGGGCATGCCAAGGGGAACCACTCATTTTGGGGTTACAAACGCAAATGCGGTTTGTAAGGAACCCCATCGATTGGAGAATGGTCCGAACTCAAAACGAAGCGGGGACTCCGGCAATTGAGCATCAGCCTGGTGTTTTTTGGCGTCGAAACCTTCGGGCTTTGGTTTTGAATGGATCTCACCTACTGGGGCTTTCATGTTACGAGCCCTCACTGTGTAAAAACAAAAATCAACATGTTGTTTCCTGCGTTTGCATGGTGACTTTGTTCTCATGTGTGTGTGTGCTGTCATTTTTTGGCAGATGTATTCATTTGCTTTGTTGTTTTGGGTATTTGTTTCTTGAATGGACTGCGCTCAACATCAAGTTGCCCAGTTGTAAGGCTCACTGAATGTGGCCGCCATCTAACAAGCGTGAGTTCTTGTTGGCCGCAGAAGCTGAGGTAGCCTACCCCAAACTGCACAGCTTTGCTGGGTAGATCTGGATTCTTTTTTGACAAGCAAGAGCTTGAACCCCAATAACTTGCCTTTCCTCAGTCAACCTCTTCAGAATTGCTTGGGTTTCTGCGAGTACTAGGTAAAAGTGGGTTGGACACTCAGATATTCGTTGAGTTGCTTCCTTTCGGTTTGGCAATGAAAACAGAGTCCTTTCCCAGTCATACTTGAAAGTTTCATCACTGGGGTCAGCATGGAGAAGAAATCCGTGGGTGGCAACCTTGTGTGATGTCCTGACAATCGTCGCCAAGTTGTCAACCCACATGAAATGATTTGCTGTTGTTTTTTCATTAACACGCTGTTCAGCGCAGTGTCCCGGAATTCCTTGGAGCATAGCGGGCCCACCGGGCTTGTCCATACTACCTGATGGAAAACATTTGAGCTGCGCCCGAAACCCAGCTGGCCATTTTAGCAGATGGTTCTACCTTTGGTTTCATCCGGGTTGTAGCAAAGCCTATATGAAAGGTAAAGCCTTTATCATCATCTTGGTAGAACCAACAGTCAACGGGTTTTGGGCTTGTGTTGGGCCCCCCCCGCTTCGCAGTCGCCTCAGGCATGGGTCTGTCTGTTTCTGAGGGCACCTGTCTTGGGGTTCCTTTAACGGGAAAGCGAAGGGGATCCGACAAGTTCTGTTGGGTACCCCTATTTGGAGACACACCCACACCGGTCCCTTAAGGGAAACCTTAGGCAATCCCCAAATAGCCAACCAATACGGGGACCCCTTCCACAAAATAGTTACACACCTTCAACTTTGCCCATGTAGGCGCAAGAGGCGGGGTCTTCGATGCCACCCTTCCAGCGGAATATGACCTACCTCGCCGGCCCGTGAGGATCTCAAAGTTTAAGTGTGTGTGTGTGTGTGTGTGTTTGTGGGCGCGAGTGTTTGAGTGTTGTATGTTTGTGTCTTTGCGTGTGCGTGTGCTTGCTTGCTTGCTTGCTTGCTTGCTTGCTTGCTGGCTGGCTGGCTGGCTGGCTTGCTCGCTCGCTCTCTCGCTCGCTCGCTCGCTCGCTGGTTTGTTTGTTTGTTTGTTTGTTTGTTTGTTTGTTTGTTGGTTTGTTGGTTTGTTGGTTTGTTTGTTTGTTTGTTTGTTAGTTTGTTTGTTTATTAGTTTCCTTGTTTCTTCGTTTCTTTGTTTGTTTGTTTGTTTGTTTGTTTGCTTGCTTGCTTGCTTGCTTGCTTGCTTGCTTGCGTGTTTCTTTGGTTATTTGTTTGTTTCTTTGTTTCTTCGCTTCTTTCTTTGTTTGTTTGTTTGTTTGTTTGTTTCTTTGGTTATTTGTTTGTTTCTTTGTGTGTTTCTTTGTTTCTTTGTTTCTTCGTTTCTTCTTTGCTTGTTTGTTTGTTTGCTTGTGTCTTTGGTTATTTGTTTGTTTCTTGGTGTTTGTTTGTTTGTTTCTTTGGTTCTTTGATTGTTTCTTTGGTTCTTTGCTTGTTTCTTTGTGTTCTTCTTTGTTTGATTGTTTGTGTGGTTCTGTGTGGTTGTGTGTAGTTGTGTGTGGTTGTGTGTTTGTTAGCTTGCTTGTTTGATTGTTTGTTGTTTTGGCTTGTATTTGTATTTGTTTGTTTGTTTGTTTGTTTGGTATTTGTGTGTGTGTGTATGTGTGTGTGTTTTCACGCTTGTTTGCTCCTCTGTGTGTGCGCGTGTGTGTACCTGTGTGTGTGTGTGCGTTTGTGAGTTCGTACGTCTGTGTGTGCGTGCTTGTTTGAATGTGTGTGTGTGTGTGTGTGTTGCGAGCCTGTGCTTCTGTTTGTGTGTGGTTGCGGGTTGAGTGTATGCGTGTTTGTGTGTGTTTTTGTTTTTGTGTGTGTGTGTGTGTTTGTGAGTTTGTGAGTTTGTGTGTTTGTGGGTGGCAGTGTCTGTTTGTTTGTTTGTTTGTTTGTTTGTTTGTTTGTTTGTTTGTGTGTTTGTTTGTTTGTTTGTTTGTTTGTTTGTTTGTTTGTTTGTTTGCTTGCTTGCTTGCTTGATTGCTTGCTTGCTTGCTTGTTTGTTTGTTTGTTTGTTTGTGTGTTTGTTTGTGTGTTTGCGAGTTTGGGAGTTTGTGTGTTTGCTTGTTTGCGTGTTGCGTGTTTGTTTGTTTGTTTGTTTGTTTGTTTGTTTGGTTGGTTGGTTGGTTGTTTGTTTGGTTGTTGGTGTGTGAGTGTGTTTGCACGCTTGTTTGCTGAGTGTGTTCGTGTGTGTGTGTGTGTGTGTTTGCGTATTTGTTTGGGTGTGTGTGTGTGTGTGTTTGTTGTGAGTCTGTGTTTTTGTGTGTGTGTGTGTGGTGTGTGTGTGTGTGTGGTGTGTGTGTGTGTGTTTGTGTTTGTGTGTGTGCCCCCTGTTCCTAAGGGGTTTGTCGGTTGTTTCCTTTGTCGGCTTTTTACTTTTTGGAGTCGGACGCCACCATAGCAAACGACTTGACGTTCAGTACCTCCGCTAGCTGCTGGCGTCCCTGATGAGGAGGGCTAGCAGAGTGAAAGACGATCAAGCGTGGGCTATGCCGAAATTCCTTGTTAGTTTGCAGAGTTGGGGTGCGCCTCTAGTGCTTGCTGTATCTCCCATCACATGTGTACCGGCACTGCTTCCGAGCCAACGGTCAGTGTCGTGAACCCTTCGGGGCATTCGATTTGCCTCATGCACAGACCTTTTCTTCTGACCATTACCGACTGACCTTTGCCGCTGACTCTGGTGACCTTAACCGCTGAACTTTTCTACTGACTTTGACCTTCACCGGATTGCCAATTAAAAGCACCCCAAGGACCGTTTTCAACTCACATTTGTTTGCCCCAGATGTTTCACCAGACCCCTACCGTGCCCCCATGACCCCTCGCGTCTCGTCAGGCATATCTGGCTTACATGTGACGGCCCCTGATGAGGCCCCATGTCCGGCTCCAACCCGGCAGGTTTTCGGCATGTTGGGCGGCTTCGTCTCCACCTCGAAACAGGTCAAGATCTTCCGGAAGAATCGCTGGATCTTGGCTGACCCGGCAGATCGATCCTCGGGCTTCTCGACCCTGCCATGGTGGATACATAGGAAGCTGACACGGGCCCGCAGGCTCTAGGCGCGTTTTACAAGAGTCCAAAGCCATCACGGCGAATGATTGAGGCGTTCTTTCCCTTTTCCTTTTTCCTTTTTCTTTCTGTGTTTCTCTTTCCCTTCTGTTTTCCCTTCAGGGTGTGTGTGTGTGTGTGCCCCCCGGTCTTAAGGGTTTGTCGGTTTTTTCCTTTGTCGGCTTTTTACTTTTTGGAGTCGGACGCCACCATAGCAAACGACTTGACGTTCAGTACCTCCGCTAGCTGCTGGCGTCCCTGATGAGGAGGGCTAGCAGAGTGAAAGACGATCAAGCGTGGGCTATGCCGAAACTCCTTGTTAGTTTGCAGAGTTGGGGTGCGCCTCTAGTGCTGGCTGCATCTCTGTGTTTTTGCGTTTGTGCGTTTGTGCGTGCGTGCGCGTGTGTTTGTGTTTGTGATTGTGCGGGTTGCGCGTTGTTCGAAAGGAGCGCAGTCATATTTGCAGGTGACGCTACTTTGACACATACCCGAGTGGCTATGAATCTCCAAAATAGGTGATGGACATAACCCCCCCTTGTACATGATGTTTATCAACGGGCCCAACCTTGTGGGCGATTTTTTGTTTCTTGAGAAACCCTTGAATTTCGAGAAAGACCACAGGAAACCACCCAAGTGGGGGTGCTTCTATGTTGACACACGCCCAAATAGGACATCCCGAGCTGTTGGGATAGCCAATGATGAATCATGAAGGGCCCATGTCAGTCTGGGTATGTGTCAAACGAGGAGTTCGGACACCCAGATGCGACTCGGTTCTCCTTTTGGTTTTCCAACCCAAGGCACCAGCTCAAACAGGGGTTCCTGAATTTCCCGTTTTTGGACCTGCAAAAGTGCCTCTTATTTGCAAAAACGGCATGTCCAGTCAACTGCAACATTTTTAGGGAGAATCCAGCAACCCCTGTCAGAATCACCAAGCGCTTTCCAGCCAGAGGCAGAGTGCGGGTTTCCCGATTCAGGTTCTCCATGTTGTGGGCGCTGCTGCTGGCAGCCAGGCGCTGCTTGAAGTAGTTTTTGGTGCGACAAGAACCCCAGTTTTTCAGGGTTGTCTCCCCCAGCCAGCCAGCCAACCAACGAACCCGCAAACCAACCAACCAAACAGCCAACAACCAACAACCAGAAAATGCAGCGGTGCGCATGTTGCGGAAACCACTCCTATGGCACAGACAAGAGCAGCAAGGCAACTAAAAGCGCTTCAACACGCGCATAGGCCGTGCAGTGCCTTCCGGGATTAATCGCTTTATGTCATGGTCCTATCTGGCCGAGCAGTGACCAAGTTGCTAAGGCCCCATATGAACGCGGCTCCAAAAATTAGGGTTGGTTGTCCTGGCAGCCTCCTTGGAGAGGAATCTAACGACAAAACATGGGCCCTGGAATATTTCCAAGGGGTTCGTAGTGAGGGGGAAGACACGTTTGTGTCATAACGAGTTGGACCCCTCTTCATGACATATAGAGAGTGGCCAGTTGTTTTCCCAATCAAAGGCCACGACTACGGAGCAGTGTATTTGTTTGGTGGCACCTTCAGCAAATGAGCGATTATTCTAAGGCCACCCGATTTCTTAAGGACGGATTCGACTGGTTCGGACATACCTCCAGATTGCGGTTTGCATGTGGCTTTCTCGGCTTTGGCGGATCCACCCCTGCAGGAAGGTCAAAGCACTAAAAACGGCACCAACAACGTTCAGCCTTCATAGAGCTCGCTATCCCTGGGTAAGCCAAGGGCAAGCCCTTATTAAGGCCTTTCGAAGGGCCTAAATAGGTAGCTCCTCTCCCAAAATCGCCCCGCCCTTGTGCAAACTTCAGGAGGTTCAAACCTGATTAGGGTGGATGCGTTTTGTGTTATTTGTCTAGGGTAGTGAAGACAGTGCTCCCAATATTTCTCTGAAAGGGTGATTTGAAGCATCACCTTTTAGGTCAAATTAAACTGAGTTTCCTTTTTGGTGATGTGATGTTAACGAGAAAGCATAAGATAACCTGTAAGAGCTACTGCACACGCATGCAGGTGGAGATACAGCGACGAGGACCGTCTTCGTGAGCTCGAAAAGCAGCCGGGAGGCGGGAGGCGGTCGCTAAGTCAGCCGAACAAACTTTGAGTTCGGGGCAGTTCTGGCGGTAGCACATCCACTCCGTTCCCCGAATTGGACACCCTGCGCATAACCTCACAAATCAATTTACCAAGGATCAAATAATGGCACCACCTACCAACTGGTGGAGCTTGTCCAACCTTGGGTTTTTTTTTCTTCGGAAAACTATATCCGTGGTAGGACACGTGAGGATTGGGATGGTACATGATTTCAGTCAACCTCAACATATTCGGTTTGCACGAGTTCACTTGCCACGTACCCTTCCACCAAACATGGAAGAAGGTGTCGGAAGTCGACGAACTGGTCCACGGAAGAACCCCCTTCGGGGGCAGACGCAGACTCCCTGCGGAAAGCAACACGGAAAACCAAAAGGACAACTTTTCAAATATGTTGGCGGGTCCCCTACTTTGAGAAACTACACGCCCACGGGAAGCCCCCAAGAGCTTTCGGGTTGGAGGGAGGGTGGGAACTTGGGCAAAATCCAGGGAGGTGGGCAAAATCAGCAAGATCTGGTCTATCCTGGTGCCTGGCGCGGAGTTTGTCCATCCGAACGGGTGTGTATTTCCTTAGGGACGACCCAGTTTTTGCGTACCATACCAAGGTTTGAGAAGAATCCCCACACGAAGATCGACAATTCCACGGAAGACCGGCCGAAGTGAGAGGTGCCATTCTTCTGGACGTCTTGGCGTGGCGGGTGGCAGCTCACTTGGGCCCCTACCAGGCTTGGAAGCCCCGCATTTTGAGACCTGTTTGGGATTGAAAGGGAAGCCGAAAGGAATCCAACCATTTTAGGGGACTATTTTGGGAAGCCCTCATTTGACTCTGTGTGTGTGTGTGTTTTGCGGGCACACCCTTTTTAAGGTGGTGTCAAAGGGAAGCCAGGAACCCACCATTCTGTGAGGCCACCTTGCGTAGACACATGCCCATATTGGTTGATGAAGCGCCGGGGCAGGGAGGGTGGGGGAGGGTGATGCTCGCCTTTGGGGTATCTGAACTTCAACGATTACTCCCTTGTGAACTTGGTGGAAAAAGGAGCTATTGTTTTAGGGTAACCAAGCTTTGCCAGTCCGCTTGGGGGCCTTTTCAAGAGGGCTATAGTTTTGCGTAACCCTCCTGTGAACGTCCGTGATAGTTGGAAGGAGGACACCCTCTTCTGGACTTGGTGTAAAGCAAGAAACCCGCTCTTGACTGCTTCAAGAAGGGAGACAACAGGAAAGTCTTGCCGTTTTTAGGCTTCCCCTTGGCTGCTCTTTGAATTGACCAAAATAACCTTTTGACTTCTGAAATAATGTTTGTTTCCAATCACCAGCACGCAACGAGTGAAAGTTACATTCGCAGGGAGTCTTGATCGACCAATCCAGCTTCAGGCCATCGTCTCAACTTACAATCATGGGCTGCGGCAAGTTCGACCTGTTCAGAGAACTTGTGCGATTCCAAGGTGCCAGTGTTGTTTTTCCCGAGCGGCCTCCTTTGGGGAGGCAAAGAGTCAAAGTACGCACTTGTTTGGAGGGGAGTCTGTTCTTCGGCTCCCAGAAGAAAGTCAACGATTGTCCCCAGGACCGGCAGAGTCGTTGCAGGGGAGGTTGTATACGATGATTTTGGGTTTTGGGACGTGGGGGATGAGCCACCTAGTTTCAGCCACAAAAAATCAGGGGCTAGCCACGATTGTCCTGGTACGATTACAGGGGGAGCTTTCAGGCACATGTGAGCATGGCGTTTTTCCCCACGTCTTGTCGGCTGCCAGATTCCCAACCTGTGCCGCGCGAAGATGCATGAAGAGCCCTTGAGGATGCTGCAGGACAGGGGTAGGGCCCGGAAGCTGGGAGCTTGCGGAAGTGCAAAGATGTGCAAAGCATGCATGGCTTGGAAGCAAATGACTGCATCAAATCAACACCCTTTGCTCAGGGTGAAGAGCAACACAGGTTTTTGGTTTGAGTTTGGCGGGTGGGTTCCGCTGGTTTGGTTCAGTTGATGTTAAGCCCCCGAAGGGTAGAGGAAACTCTCTCTCTCTCTCTCTTTCTTATTCTGGGGTGGGTTTCTCGTTTTAGTTCCCCCACAACGGGTGGGTGGGGACCCGTTCAAGCGCGCAGGAGCCCGTTCTGCTGGACTCCGAGCGCATGCAGGCGCTCCGGAGGCCCGGGGTGGGTTTGGGGTAACCATATAGTTTCTCCAGATGGCAGACACGCCCCCTTTCCGCGATTGGTATTTGAAGGGAAAAGGTAGACCGTTGCAGTTTGAGAACCTCCCGCCCCAACATGGTTGCTTTCTCAAAGTATTTGTTTCATCTCAACTTCCCCCCCCAAAAAAAAGAAAGAAAAAGAAAAAGGAAAAGACAAGACAAGAGGAAACAGAAAAACGAAAAGCAACAAACTAACAGGCCCTTCAGAATTCAGAGGGTTCATACACGGCGCATTCCCTGGGTGAATGGCCCGCCATAAATATGCTTTTTGGCACTAGCATCATACATTTGGACCTTTGTGGAATATCGCAGGGAAAAGAGGTGAGCCCTCTACAATCCTGTTGGGCCTCAAAATTGTTTGGACCCTGAACATGTGGTGGTGGTTTGGGCCGGGGGGGGGGGGGGGAGAGGGGTAAGTTCAAGCTTCTGGAGAAAGCAAGACTGTGTGAGGTCTAAGAACAATCGTGGCTGGTGCTTACTTCATTTTGCCTTGGTAGCCACCAACTTCCCCAGCAATCCGTTCCAAGTGGACACTAGTCCCAAACACTTTCAGTAGACCAAGTTGGTGGGAGGGTGCTGGTGATATAGGGGCGGAAATCAAAACGCTGACCCCGGAGAAAGGGCCCCAAAAGGGGAAGCATATAACTCGCCAGGCTCAAGTTTGCATTTCCAGGTGTGGTAATTGGAGGTACGGATGCGCAGATATGCAGTATACCACTCGTATAAGTTTGTGTAACGCAGTATATGCCCGGTTAACCATGTGGTTTTCGCCTCCATACCTCCAAGACCCATCCCTAAGACCTTGAGTAATCCAGGCCAGGCCTCGGAGCTTCCATGAATTACCGGAGGGGGAAATCAGCCGATCTGGACATTGAACGAGCCCGCCCTGTAAGACCAGCTCGCCCATGATGAAGGTTTGTTTACTGGCGGATTCCTTATTTCCAGTTGACGAATAAGACTCAAAATTGGCTTCAGTATTTCTGTAATGGATTAAGTTCTTACTTACTTGTTTGTTATTTCATCACCTTGATATACCGATTATTCCCGATTGTTAACTCACTTCTGACTGCCTAGCCACGGAACTCGTGTTGGCTCTTGACCATTTAGTGGACACAAAGTCCAGAGACTTTACCAGCGGAGGCCATTTTCGAGCTTCGGTGTCCTTTTGCTAGATGGTCGGAGCCCAAACCAGCGGAAGCAATCTAGTGTTTACCAAAGCAATCTCAAAAGTCAATGATTAAACTAGAACCATCTTTATTTTTGGGGTTAACCCTGTCCCATCCCCCAAGGCATGCTTTAGGCTATTCTTGACTCGAGCAGGCCGAAGCATAGAGAGAGAGAGAGAGATTCAAAGAAATGAAACCAACAGCCAGAAGAGATAGTTGATTCTAGTAGATCAAGTTTGGTTGGACATAGAACTTATTTCTTATTTGGCTATTTTTTGGCTATTTGACTTCCCAAGTTGCTGTTGGTGCGAGGCTTGGCCAGCTCTCCCAGCGCCGGCTGGCGGCCCTGAGCCTGGCGCCGCCCAAGGCCGAGCCAGGCCCAGGCCTGGGCCCGCCCAGTTTGGGGGGGGGGGGGGGCACCAACCTCGCTAAGTGTGGCTTGACAAAACCTGGCAGAAGATGAGAGAGCCTGAAAGCAAGGAAATAAGGCCTGAAAGGCTGTAGTGGCTCCCCTCACGGCTCAAAATCTCGAAATCACTGTGTGACAGTGGTTTCATACGATTTCATCCATCTCGTTTGGTGTGAAGCGGATCTTGTCCAACGGTTCTGGTTCCGGCACCCCACAGCTCCAGGCCAGCCTTTGCGCGCAATCGAGCCGCTGCTCCTTGACGCCTTCTTCCAGGACCCACCGCGGGGATTCGGGGAAAAGAACCGTGTGTGTGTGTAGGTTGGGGGGGGGGGGGAAAGGGAGATACTCAGGGGTGGTTAAATTCAAGTTGGAAAGCTTTCTTTGGATGGCTTCGAAAGGGAAGATGCAGGCCCAGAAAAAGGGGCCCCTACTCCTGAAAACAACCTTTTTAGCAAACAGCAGACCTCACACCGGCGACAGGGACCGCCAATTTGCGGTGGATCTCGCACTGCAGGGACCCTGTGGTGTTGGGATGCTCCCCCAAGATTTCAGGAAGGCATCTGTTTGGGATGGGAAACTAGCCCCGATTTGGTCCTTTAGGGCTGAGAAGCCTTGTTCTCCATCATATTGCTTCATCATGCGGCTTGCATCAGCATGCTGCCGGGAGCATCATGGCGTTGCTTGCTGACTCCTGGATATATGTTGTGTTTCCCCATTGGTGACCTTGCACGTCTGTTTGGCTGTGCTTTTTTTTTTTGGGGGGGGCGGGGGGAATCCCCTTTTGGCTGGTTAAAAATGGCAAGCAAAAGGCCATCAACCATTTTGGGACTCTTGTAAGTTTGAGACGACCCTGTTAGAGGGTCTACGGCAAGTCTACCCACCCAGTGGGCTTCGTGGCTCAGTTTTGTTGAGGGTCGGCGCTCAGTTTGAAGCTTTTCTGGGTTCAGGGTTTGTGGTTCACGCGTTTGTAGGGAGGCGCTCACCGGGCTGGAGGCAATAAGATCCGTCTCGGACCTGGGAATTAAAGTCTCTTAAGGAGAGGCGCTCACCGGGCTGGAGGCGGGAAGATCCGTCTCGGACCTTGAAATAAAAGCCCTCTAGGTAGAGGCGGTCACCGGGCTGGAGGCGGAAAGATCCGTCTCTCCACAATGATCCGTCTCTCCACAATGATCCGTCTCTCCACAATGATCCGTCTCGGGGATTTCTCGCTCCCAGGAGAGGCGCTCACCGGGCTGGAGGCAATAAGATCCGTCTCGGACCTGGGAATTAAAGTCTTTTAAGGAGAGGCGCTCACCGGGCTGGAGGCAATAAGATCCGTCTCGGACCTGGGAATTAAAGTCTTTTAAGGAGAGGCGCTCACCGGGCTGGAGGCGGGAAGATCCGTCTCGGACCGGGCTTAAGGAGAGGCGCTCACCGGGCTGGAGGCGGGAAGATCCGTCTCGGGGATTTCTTGTTCCCAGGAGAGGCGCTCACCGGGTTGGAGGCGGAAGATCCGTCTCGGGGATTTCTTGTTCCCAGGAGAGGCGCTCACCGGGCTGGAGGCAATAAGATCCGTCTCGGACCTGGGTAAAGTCTTTTGGAGGGCGTCTCCCGGGTCTCTTGGAGGCTGGAGGCGGGAAGATCCGTCTCGGGGATTTCTTGTTCCCAGGAGAGGCGCTCACCGGGTTGGAGGCGGAAAGATCCGTCTCGGGGATCCCAATTTCCGTCTATTCCCAGGAGATGGAAGAGATCCCAGGAGAGGCGCTCACCGGGTTGGAGGCGGAAAGATCCGTCTCTCGGTGATGATCCGTCTCGGCTAGAGGGAGGAAAATGAATTCCCAAAAAGGCACTCACCCGAAATAATGATCCGCGCCCGGGTGGAATCGAGCCCGCGGTCTGCAAGCTTCAGAGCTGTAGAGCCTCTTCCAATTGAGCTATGGACCCTTACTAGTCAAGCACGGAGACTCCTGTGCCAGAGAGCGTCACCAGCTGATAGGCTATCAGGTGGATGAACACATCCGTCATCGTGCCGTCGAGCGCCTTGAAGGTGAACCGAGCCAGGTCGCCCGAACGAGTGCTGACGCCACTGAGGGGCATCTTGGGCCTTATTGCCTCCAGCCCGGTGAGCGCCTCTCCTTAAAAGACTTTAATTCCCAGGTCCGAGACGGATCTTATTGCCTCCAGCCCGGTGAGCGCCTCTCCTGGGAGCGAGAAATCCCCGAGACGGATCATTGTGGAGAGACGGATCATTGTGGAGAGTATTCCAAGGTCCGAGACGGATCTTATTGCCTCCAGCCCGGTGAGCGCCTCTCCTTAAAAGACTTTAATTCCCAGGTCCGAGACGGATCTTATTGCCTCCAGCCCGGTGAGCGCCTCTCCTGGGAGCGAGAAATCCCCGAGACGGATCATTGTGGAGAGACGGATCATTGTGGAGAGACGGATCTTTCCGCCTCCAGCCCGGTGAGCGCCTCTACCTAGAGGGCTTTTATTCCAAGGTCCGAGACGGATCTTTCCACCTCCAGCCCGGTGAGCGCCTCTCCTAGGAGTAGGAAATTATCCAGGTCCGAGACGGATCATTGTGGAGAGACGGATCTTTCCACCGCCAGCCCGGTGAGCGCCTCTCCTGAAGATAAAAAAAACATATCCTGGTCCGAGACGGATCATTGTGGAGAGACGGATCATTGTGGAGAGACGGATCTTTCCGCCTCCAGCCCGGTGAGCGCCTCTACCTAGAGGGCTTTTATTCCAAGGTCCGAGACGGATCTTGTCGCCTCCAGCCCGGTGAGCGCCTCTCCCTGGGGAAAGAATTTCCTTCGCCTCGAGACGGATCTTCCACGAAAATCTCGAGACGGATCTTGTCGCCTCCAGACCATCCCTGGGGTGGAATTATTTTTTCTCTCCCGCCTCCAGACCATCCCTAGGGAATTATTTGTTCGCATGGACCGAAGTGTTTGAGTGGATCGAGCATGGGTCGAAGCGCTTGCGCCGTTGCCATGCAGCACGCATTGACCGAGAGCCTGCTGGTCACCATGGAGGAGTGGGCAGCCAAGCAGCCTGCCGCCCTTCCGGATGTGCTGGAAGCGGTGGAGCGCATCTCCGAGCTGCTGGATCTGAGCGGCTTGTTCTCGGCGCTGCTGCTGCACCCTCGCAGAGACAGGAAGAGCCTGTCCTACACGGGGGGCATCCGAGTCAGCGGGCTTGACTTCGGATTCCCCTGCCCCTACGGCGCTTTGGAGTCCTACCTCACGAAGGACGGATGCCGGTGATGACCAGAGATCCCGGAGACGATCTTTTCGCAGACGTTCGACTGGCTGGCTCCCGAGCCCTCGCTTGGGCACCTCAACGCCGACACCAAGGGCGATTTCCTGGAGCTGACCCTGGCCGCGGCTGCGCAGGTGCTGGATTGCGCTGAGAAGCCCTGCAGCGAGCCGCTGATGCGCTGCCTGCACGCCGCGCGGCTGCTGATCGAAGATGCCGCGCGCACTTTGGAGGAGCTGCAGCTGTGGGGCAACCCGCTCCTGCTGAGAGTGACGCGGGAGATAGATGGGTGCCGCGTCAGCTGCAAGTCCTGCCCAAAGTGTGGAGGCGCAGTCTTCGGGCTTGGTTATTTTCTGCAAAGAAGAATCTCGAAAGAATGGGGAAGCACTGCTAGAATTGAGTCACTAGAATTGAGTCATAGCTGGCTAGAACCTTGCTGCTTGCAAGCTTAACGCGTGGCAAAGCTTGATTTGCGCTGCTTGGACAAAGCCTCACGGTGCCAAAGGGCAGCAACTCATGCGGGCCCGAGCCTTCGAGCCCATTTTCTCAAGCCCTGCAAGGTCCGGATGTGGTTAGTGGCCAATTTAAAGTGAGATCTCTTGTGGTGCGGTGGTATTGAAAGGGGAAATAGAACCAACATTTGAACTGAGCACAATCAACACTCTCCATCCCAGGCCAGAAACAGCTGTGGATATCTGCCATTTTGATTCTTTACCAGGTTTGATTCAACTGAACTCCGGGGCCTTGGTCTTGAAAGGGCAGGGGCGAAGCCTTGCCCGTGTAGAAGCAAACCTACTGTGGATGGGCATAAATCCTGCAGCAGTTGGTCAGCGGTTTATCCCAATCTTGACAGGGTTTCATCCATGCCAACGGGTGCAGGTTTTCGTCGATGACCAGTACAACGGTAGAGTTACTTGGTATTGTGTCCTTTGACTTTCCTTTTTTCCAGGTACCAAATTTCTACCCCGGCCCTGAGAAGGTCTTCGAGACCAACCCTGACTAGGGGCTCCAATGTTGGATTGTGTGGATTGAGAGGAAGTCGTTGCCAGTGCAGGGTCCTTATCCTAACCTTGTTTGCCGTTCTCATCTCCCAGATCTGCTGGCTGTCATGATTGAGTACCTGCACTTTAGCAAATGCCCACGGCTTCCCTTCAGGGGTCCACTTGAGCAACCAACAATATGATGATGTTGTAACTAGCAAGGGATGAAACGTGTGATTTTCGAACACAAGCAGATATATATATATATATAGTTATTTATTTATTTATTTAAAGCGCCTGGCCCGCATAAAAAGAAGAAGTGAAGGAGCCCAAGCCAATGACTTCCAGGGTTTTCAGCTTACTCTTTGCATGATCATTTTCGAATTGGGTTTCACCAATACCCATCCGCAACCATGTAACCTGACTCGGGGTCCTGGTTCGGACCACTTTCCTTCTCAATGCAAACTCGGTCAGCTTCCATTGTGGAGGACGGGTACTTTGCAAGTGAGCCAACCACATCCAACTAACAAAGCCTGGTTGTATGCAGTCAAGTAATCAACCAAAATTAACTATTATTCTGTTTGTTTTGCCACAACTTACCTGGTGTGGTTGAGTATGGTTGGTATTGACTATTTCGGGCATCCCGACGTATAGCCCATCCCATCTTCATCCCATGAAACATCCGTGCCAGGACTCCGCGAGCGCGACGCGCTCCCCGGGGACCAGCGCGGACTCCCACAAGGACGCTGTAACTTGGCAGGGGCGTCCGCAAAAGGCTCATATTTGTTTTATTTGTTTTTGGAGGGCGCCCTTGTTGGGGTTTTGACCAGAAGGAGATTCGCAATCTCTTGGGTTCCCCCCCCCCCCATTTTCACACGCACACACGCACACACACACACACAAATGGTTGGTTTCCTTCGCAGTTTCCTTCCTGACCCTGCACCAGCCCAAAAAAGTGGTTATACATATCGTGGCTGCTTAGTGGGATGTTTAATCTTTAACCTTTTGAACAAATGGACAACCGAGCGTTTTTTTGGTTTGGTTTTCCATGTTTTTGCGCAGGAGGCAATAGCCAAACAGTAAAATTGGAGTTGGAGCACTCCTACATGCTGAGGTGTCCATGCCTCCCAGCGGCAATCTCAAATGTAGTCCACCTGGTTCTGCTGGAGCTCCTTTACAAATAGATATGATCTTTCATTGATTTGAGTTAGTGTTTGGACGTTGATTTGAGCTTCCTCGTACGTGTGTTGGTATACTTAATTGGGCTTTCCATTTGATTTCATGCGGCCCAGATGGCCCCAATTAACACCATGGGACCCACAGTATCAGCATGGCCTGGGCACTCACGCAGGGTACCTCATGTGACCTTCTCAACCATCACTTTCAGAAAGCCACTTTTTTAGATTTCGGGGAGTTCTGGCTGATGTTTGTGTTGGCCTGGCACTGCTTCATGGCGCTAGCACGAGTGCAAAGCTGGCAGTTGTCCTTGCTGTTGCGTTCCAGAAGCAC